CAGCAGCAGGTCGTGTTGGGAAAGAAAGTAGTAAAAAGTTTGGTGCACGTGACGCTCAAGAATTTTTGAGACAACAGCCAGAACTGATATTGGGCGATAATTGGATCGGTCAAATAACGAACCGTCTTTATACAGTGGAGAGACTTTAGCAGTTTTCCAAAGATCGGGGAAAACACCAGAAGAAATGCTGAGATTAAAAATAGCAGTCAAAGATGGAGAGATAGACGAGGCTGCTAATCAACGTATTGGAATTGCTTGCGGCTTTCTTTGCCCTAAAATGTTATTGCAGCAAAATGGGGAACTGCCACATACAGCTTCAGATCGATAATACCACGGCCATTGCGTACATTAACAACATGGGGGGCTCTAAATCAAAAGAACTTGACCAATTGGCTTTTCAAATTTGGGAATGGTGTATAACTAGGCACATTTGGCTCTCCGCTGTTCATATTACTGGTCGGCTGAATACCGGTGCTGATGAAAAATCTCGCGTGTTTTCGGACAACCATGAGTGGATGTTAAACAAACAGTTGTTTGACGACATCCTATCACACCACCCTGGGCTGGATTGTGATCTTTTTGCCAGCAGATTAATTTTTCAGATCAGCACTTATTGCTCGTGGCGCGGAGATCCACACAGTGCCCACATCGATGCTTTTACTATGAGCTGGAGTGGTTACAAATTTTATGCATTTCCACCTTTCAGCCTCCTCCCCAAATGTTTACAGAAAATCAGACAGGACAGAGCGCACGGAATACTCATTGCTCCTCTTTGGCCAACACAGACGTGGTTCCCTCTCCTGCTACAATACCTGTGCGATCAACCTTGGATTCTGCTTCCACGCCCGGATCTTCTGAAACACCCCTCACACAGTCGACCCCACCCGCTGCACAAGAAACTCCACCTAATGGTATGTCCTGTGTCAGGGGAGCCTTCAGCCGCTACAGCTTTTCAGAAGAAGTTACCGATGTGCTCATGGCCTCTTGGCGGTCAGGCACGCAGAAACAGTACCAAACCTATCTTAACAAATGGATGGCGTTTTGCGGTGAGAGGAAGATTGCTTACTATTCACCACTGCTAAATGAAGCCCTCCAATTCTTGTACGACTATTTAATCAACGACTGAGTTATTCCGCGCTAAACACTGCCCGCTCTGCTCTTTCTGCAATTATTATAACGGAAGGTGGGGAGTCTTTCGGTACTAATTGCGTTGTAACTCGATTTATGAAAGGAGTCTTTGAATCACGGCGACCAAAACCTAAGTACACGAAAATTTGGGATGTCGGAGAAGTTTTGAAACATTTGTCTACGTTTTACCCGTATGACAAATTGGCATTGAAAGATTTGACGTATAAAGTTCTCATGTTAATCTTACTAGTCTCGAGTCAACGAGGACAAACTGTACACTCTTTAGATCTTTTAAGCACCTTTGTGTGGAAGAGGACAAATAAATATTTGACATTGATGAACACATGAAGACCAATAGTCCAAGGAACCCTAATACAAGAATCGAAATAGCTAGATATGAGCCGGATGTTTCCATTTGTCCTTTCACTTGCCTTCAGGCGTATATTAACAGCACAAAAGGTTTGCGTGAAGATGAAACGAAATTATTTGTTAGTTATGTTAGGCCACATAAACCTGTCTCCAGGGGCACAATTTCCAGGTGGACTAAGGAAACCCTCCACCTTTGTGGGGTGGATACCAAAGTGTTCTCCGCCCATAGCACTAGGTCGGCGTCTGTTTCAAAAGCCAGTGCCAAAGATGTCCCTTTTCACGAGATCATGGCCAGGGCTGGCTGGAAATCCGCAGAGACTTTTCATAAATATTACAATAAGCCTGTTATTCAAGAAAACAGTGTGGCCTCTGCTGTTCTGGGCGCTAGCCCATACTAGGCCTTTCGTCATGTCTACTTTGGACCTGGCTGGGATTAGCAAATTTGCAAGTTTATATATATATGGAAAAAAAAAAACACTGTTGTATTATATTGTGTTTATTATTGGGGTTGCTTTTGCCAGAGGCTACTCTGCATATGACCTTGGGTTATCTGTACCTCTCGTTGGGCCTATCGCATGGGCGCATCAACCCTTTGAAGACTCATGGGATCTCCGCCTTCTGGTCATGTGATAGAATTGGGAAATTAAACGAGACTTACCTGTAAATTGAAGTTTGATTGAGATTCTATCACATGACAACAGAAGGCGAGAGATCACATGCCCTCCGCTTTCATACCCACCCTGTTTGTTTGTACTTTCGGGTATGCCATTCGATACTATGTTGACGCCCATTACGTGTCTTTTAAGAATGACTTGCGCAAGCGCTGTGCTATCTCATATGATCTCTCGCCTTCTGTTGTCATGTGATAGAATGTCAATCAAACTTCAACTTACAGGTAGTGCTCTCAAAAATGTTACATGTGAGTGTCACAAGTTAAATACGCGAAGCCAAGAGGAAGGCGAAACGATTGACGAGTTTTACCGCATTAATGAAACTGGCAGCAACCAGTGAATTTGAAAGTCTAGAAGAAGGGGTTATACATGACCGGATCATTTGTGGTGTCAGTACGCCTTCAAGGTCTGAAAGAACTACTCTTGCTAGAATCGGACCAGACAGGAAGTAAAGCCATCGACATTTGGCAGAGCCGCAAAAACTTCAAGAGAACAAATCAAGAGTATTAGCGAAGATAAAGTAACCATCGTAGACGCCCTAAGAAGACGTAAGATCTTTAAGGATTCACCGCAAAGGCAATCATCTAAAAAACGTCCACCGACTTCAGCGCAACGAAATCAATGGCGCCCACAACAGCAGCAGTGGGACGCAAAAAGCTGAAGACTGCGAACTGTGGCAGCAATCTTCTACCTACGTAGTGCCCAGCGCACGGAAAAATCTGCAGTTATTGTCATAAATTGAGGCATTTTGTGGAAATCTGCAGTATTAAACCTGTTCAAGAATTGGCGTATAGTAACACAGAGCGATAACGCCCTCTCAGATCATGGAATTGACCTGCTCGCTAGTAAATCTACTCAAAACCAGAATGAAGAATATGCCCAGCCTATTGTCAATTACTAACCCCTTCAATTCAAGTTCGACTCCGGAGCTGAGGTCAATGTTTTAACGAGAAATTACTTAAACAAAATTATACTCAAGACACAAAGGAACAGTAAGCTTAAACTGAGTAACGCGACCTTTTAAACAGCGCATGAGGACGTAACATCCCCGTCATTGGGAAATGTCACTTTTTTAAAATGCCAGAACACTAAAGGAACGGTTTAAGTGCTCGTGTTCCTGCTGTTGACGATGGAAAACCTTTCCTTGGTTGCGCTATTTGTAAAAGTATGAATCTGGTAACATTTTGTAGTATTTTACATGTGTAGAAGGCCTAAATGTAATAAACGGTCCTAAATGTAATAAAGTCCTAAATGTAATAACATTTTTTATTATATAGACACGAGTGTTTTACTGGAAAATATACCACTCGTAAAATTCATAAAAGCTACATCCGGGACCCGAGTGGTTTATTTTCCATAATCTCACACGTGAGTTTATCGATGATTTCATTGATATCAAGTTTGTCTCTTAAATTGTACTTGAATTCGTTGGTGTNGTTTATTTTCCATAATCTCACACGTGAGTTTATCGATGATTTCATTGATATCAAGTTTGTCTCTTAAATTGTACTTGAATTCGTTGGTGTATCATCGAAACATCTTCGGGTCTTCCTCGAAAGTCTTCGGAAATCTTCGGAAATCTTCGGACATCTATTTACAGCACTTGCGTTGAAAACTAGAAAGAAACGTGCGATTTTTACGTCAGAACAAACGAAAACTACGATAATACTCCGTGCACGAAAAAAGAAGGAAAAACAAACTACTAACTTACAAGTGTGACTTACGTCTGATCTTGACTCCGGGGGTTAAAAGAACTCCAAATCTCCTACCGTTGTAATAACACCGAAAATTCTCCAAAAGCTCCTTACCCTGTGATGGACTTCTTACAACTGAATAAACGTGCTTAGGAAAAGAAAAATCTAATGCATGCCTTCTGACGTAAAGGAAATAAAACTGAATAAAGCTTAGTACGCCTAGCCAAAAAACGGATATACGATGATCATGCAATAAAATAAACAATGCTACAATCACGAAAGAAAAAAGTCAAAAAACAGTCCTTGAATGTAACTAATTAAAATGTCATATCTCGCGGATGACGTGACAATAGGGGCGCCAGCCAGTTTAACTGAACGCCAATTTTTCCCTGGTTGAAAACATTTTGCGTATTGTTTCTCTGACACATGCGTTTAAAGTTAGGTTTGAAATTTCTACACCTGCCCAATTTCGGTTTTCTACTAAAAATATTGCCCCCACGACGGACAGGAAAATTGCATGATCAAAATTTCCAATAAATACGACGTTTTCCATTACTTTTGGAAGTTTCGGTCTTCACATTTCATACGTTTCTCACAATTTGTTTGTCGTCCTCTTTTGAGGGCGGATTAGACTTTGAGGGTGCGAATGGGGTTAACAGTTAACTGACATTTGGCCAAAAAAAACAGTAGTTAACTGATAATTCGCCCAAAAATTAGTAGTCAACTGATAAATGAAAAGTTAACAGTTAAGTGATATTATATTAATGCTAATGAAAGCAACAAAGTCTTGCAAACAGAAATGCTATTACTGTTTTCATGGACCCAAAGTCACGTTAAACATTACAACCCAATTTAAAAAGCTGTGACTCTATAGTATTGGATCTGGCCAAAAAGAATTTTTGAGCGTTCAAAGAAATCAGCAATCTTTCTTTTAAGTACATGGAATTTGTACTTACGAGAAATCATTTTTGTAACTGATGTTGGAGTTCTAACTATTGAGACTTTTTTAATAAGACGAAAAGCTCGTGTTTAAACAGGTCTTTCTGAAACAGGTTTCGGCAGTTTCATTTCTTAAAACCCTTGGATATCTTTATGAGGTTTTTGAAATACAAGAAAAAAGTACGTCTGCGAAAAAGGTAGCATTGAGGGATGCGAAAGAGGATGCCCACAAAATCTGTATCGAGGTACAAAAACTTCTGACAACGCAGATAGAAAGCCTACACTGGTTTCTCAGTTCAACACAAAGAATTAGGGCCAAATATTCAAACCTAGTCTAGCCAGTGTTAAACAAATTTTAAAACCGCGTTCTAAGTCATTTTCAATTTGCCCAACGATTTTATCTAAACACCATTTAATGTGACTAGTTTTACGAAAGCATACAGAGAAGACTAGAAAAGCATTTATTTTCTTAAAACAACCCACCAAAGAAGGGATCTAGAGGTTCAAAGATTCGTTAAAAGTCGGGTTTTGATGCAATAATATTCGCTGTAGGAAAGTGAAAGTTAATAGCTTACCAAAATTAATAGTTAACTGAGAATTGGGTACACCCATTAGCACCTTCGACTTTAACTCTGAAAATTTCTCAACTTCTTGACCATTATTCGATTTACCAAGAGTAACTAATTCTTTTAACCTAGCAAAATTCAAGGCGGAGTCCACATCAGTTGGTTGTTGCATAATAACGTGGTCACGAATTTCAGGTCTTAGACCTCGTACAAAACGATCAAGCCATTCATTTTTAGGTAAATTTAGGGTGCGTTCCTTTGGGATGATCCGGATCAGGATCAGTTATCCGAGATCACTCAGATCATGGTAGATCAAATGAACCGGTGAATCCTTGTCCAGAGTGGATTCATCGGTTCATTTGATCTACCATGATCAGAGTGATCTCGGATCATCCCAAAGGAACGCACCCTTACACGAGAGCAGAACGAAATAATATCGTATAAGTAATCGGCAACAGTCTCCCCTAACAACTGACCACGTTCTTCTAATTTTTGCCTCGATTGCCGTAGAGTTACATTTGATTCAAAATGAGCAAGTAATTTTTGTGACAAAACTTGAAATGACTCATTTTCCGCCTCTGTTAAAGTTTTAAACCACCCGCTGGTTTGTTGTTTCAGAAACAGCGGAAGACATGATTACACTTAAAAAAAAGGACATCCTGTCTTCATCAGACGAGTTCGCTTCAGTTGGAGCTGTTCTTCATAACACGAATTATGATTTACAAACAAGATAGCCTTGTCTTCCAAGTATACGTTCTCCGCTACATTCAAGTTAAATTTGCATTTCTAGCAATCGCTCTTTACGCTAGCCACTACTTAAGACGATTTATACTGTCAATTCTCAACCTTTACCCATACATAAATACATGCATGCATGCATGCATACATACATACATACATACATGCATGCATACATACATACATACATACATACATGCATGCATGCATACACACGTACGTACATACATACATACATACATACATACATACATACATACATACATACATACATACATACATACATACATACATACATACATACATACATACATACATACCTACCTACCTACATAGATACATAGATAGATACATACCTACATAGATACTTACCTACCTACACCTAACTGCCTACCTACCTACCTACCTTAACCTTTATTGAAGTGTCTAATCGTTCTAGTGTGAAAACAGGTTTTGCCTTTACAAAAGGATAAACTGACGGACGGGGAAACACTCTAAAACTCCCTCTGGGAAAGGCCTTTTCCTGGTGACACTCGCTGGCTGCGGGAAGGTACGGAATCTCTTACGCCTGCTGAATACCCTTGAGACAATGATCACAACAGAACTTGGGTCCAACGTAGAAGTTTAATCCAAGACTATACTGCGGGTACAGTCAAAACATAGCCAAAGGAAATCTTACAAAACATCGGTGTGAATACTCTAAGTTGATGACGCGATACAGATTAGGTCATGTACTAGCGAGGTAAATTAC